CAACTACATAGTAAAAATCAGTTTTGACCTTATTTCAACCCTATTTTGACCAGATCTGCAAATGGTCAAAATAGTTTCGATTTCATATATAGTGTAGAATAACCAATATTTAAGCTAACCTTTTCTTTTAACTGTTGTTAAAAGTCCCAGTCTGGCTCTAAAAATTTTATCATGGTTGAAAATCACTTTCTATATGAAAAACAGAGAATTTTTTTTTTGAAGTGGATGATAATAATTTTATTCATGTAATTTTCATATTGAATGACACTTGATCTTGACTAATATGATGATCATGATCACTAGACATCACAAAATGCTGCCAATCTTTAAATGCTGATACTTTACTAAATATGGGTTATTTTATCAAAAACTCTCTATTTTTGCAATCTTCTAGACATGAAAAATAATGTAATAGAAAAGTTTTTTTTTTTGAGTTAAAGTTATGTAACTTTACTATATATGCTATTTGAAATTTCAGCAATCTAAACTGTGATTTATCAATAATTCACATGACAAATTCACAGATCATTTACAAATTCGGATTTTAAAATTTTATTTATAAAGGTATTATTTCCATATCTATTAATACAGATTCAGGAACTCTCCTATAGTACTAATTATCTAAAGGCATCACAAAATGTTGCCAATTTTTAAATGCTGATACTTTATTAAATACAGGCTATTTTACCAAAAATTCTATTTTTGCAATCTTCTAGACATGAAAAATAATGTAATAAAAGTTTATTTAGTAGGAGAAAAAGTTATAATGGTTTAAAGTTGGTGACTTTACTATGTTATTTGAAATTTTGGCAACCATCTAAACTGTGATTTACCAAATATTTTCATGATTTAATAACTATTCATGTGACAAAGTCACAGTTCACTTACAAATTTGGATTTATATATCAATATATATATATATAGAGCTCTTTATAAAGCAAGATCACCATAAAATTTTTCAGCAAATGGTGCAGCATGTGGTGTCTTTAGATGATTTGTACCATAACTGAAAATTTTTTCCTGTTATGAAAGACTTTTTCTGAGAATATCACCTCCTAATACAAAAATGATCAATAACAGTCAAATGATATATCACAGGAGGTGTAATTACATATATAAAATAGAAAACATGACTGTGTAACAAATCAGTTTTTTTAAAATATCTCATTATTTTTATAACAAATTCAAACATCATTATTAATCAAAGATAAAACTATGACATTATAGCTTTCCGATGAGCCCTCTCCCATATTTATATAGGCTCTCTATGCCAAGCTATATTTATTCAAAAACAGCATTGCTTTTTACTTCAAAGCTAAGATTTTTTACCAATATTACCTTTACAAACTTGATGAGCAGTTGAAGAGATGTAAAATATTGTAAGTTTTCATTTGTTTATTAAAGTTTAGTGAAAATGGCAAAAAACTCCAAAAAACATATATACTAAATTTTGATAAATTTATTTATCAATACACAAAATGGAAAAAATTGTGGGCAGGAGATTATCAGGAGTCATAACTATACATGCAGCCCAAAGTACTGTCATAAAGGGTGTTACACATGTAGTAAAAGGGTGTTACACTTATGTTTTTAATAGTGAATGCTGTAATTAATTTCTACTTTCTACCATCAAAATTGGAATAATTTTGACCATCAAAATCACCAAACCAATTTGGGCTGCATGTATAGTCACAAGTCAACAAGACGTTTTAGGAAAGGACGTAGTAAACTAATAAAAATAATAAGTAAATGAGTCAGTAGTTCTCTGACACATTTCATCAACAACCACTTCGTAATAACAGAATTAACTTGAGCATAGGTATGTTTACATTTATAAATCTTTCTTTTATTTCAATGCTGTTAAATTCTACAATTGACAAATCTTCAACTGATTTTTTGGATTCCGTAACATCATCTGTATCGCAGTATAAACTATCATCATCACTCTCAGCACCATCACCACAGACATTTTGATCAATACCAACAGAATTATCATAATTATCACCATCATCATTCGTGCCTTCTTCAATCTCCTTTTCTGATATAGATATTCGATATTCTTTTCTTTTGCGCATTCTTGAATAAATTTCCAATATTTGGCGGAAGAGGTTCTTAAAGTTTCAATATATGAATAAAATGCTTTTGATGTAGTAATAAATTTCTTATACTGTAAATGTCAATATAATTTTAAAAAATCTCAGAAAAAATCATTAGAAAACTTTTTTGATATATAATTATATTAACGCAAAGCTCTCGATGAGAGTGGCTAATATAATACCAGCAAAGCAAATTTCGTTTTTCTTTTTTTACATTAATATATTAACCAAGGCTTTCAACGAAAGTGATATAATATATTTAACATACATGCTGGTCAGAAAATTTGATGCGCGCAATCAAACGTTATTTGTGTGGCCATCACGCAGATAATAACTTTAGAAAGACCAGAATTCCATCATTACAGCAAATTAAGTCATCCTCGATACATTTACTAAATACAGTCAAAGCCCGTTATAGTGGATCTCGTTATAGTGGACACATAATAAAATCTCGTTATAGTGGACCTTTTTTGTTTCCAATGCTAATTAATTTCGCTCGATATAGTGGAAAACATAATAAAATTTCGTTATAGTGGAAAAAAGGAGAAAAATTACATATGGAACCAAGGGTCCACTATAACGAGCTTTGACTGTAATTATTAAAAAAACGATACTTCCATCATAGTTGTTCTTGAAAATTGCATTAATTTGCACTACTTCACTTCTAAAAGTCAATTGCTAAAAATATATAAAAATTGTAAATATCTTGTTGTATTAATGAGTTTTTCACTAATGCTTGGTATGACTTTAAAAGGTCTTTGACGGGTAAGTTAGTCATTATTAATTTTTGATAAATTGCAAAGATGAGAAATTTTTCTATGCAATATCAGTATTTCCAAGGAATCTAAAAATAATTTCGTTGCTCTGATCGATAATGTGATCAACTCATTTTATTATTTCGGACCTAAATATGTGTGTTACAAGGTACAAATATCAACTGATTTGTGATACTTATCTGTAGAGACCCATCTACGGTTTTTTCCCATTCCTTCATAAGGTCATCGAGCCATGCAGTACTTAAACGACTTTCTAGTATACCACGACGCAATAATTCTTCACCGATCAGCCCATCCTGATCAGTTAAAAATTTATGATGTTTTCTAGGATCTTCCTTTCTTTCTATTGCACCTTGATAAAAACGTATATCTCAACATAATGACTGATGGAAGTGTCAGTGTAAATCTGAGAAAAAAGACAAAATAAAAATAAGTACACATGAATTTGGTGAAGATGAAAAATTTTACCCTTTGAAGGTGATCGATCATGTAGTGGATCAGATCCAGGTCGAAAGGATTTACTTGTGGCTGTTCATGGCAATGAGAAAATGGTATTAGTTGGCAGGATTTATTAGAATTGGAATAAAAGAAACTTGAGTTAAAAATAATAATACCAGTTTCAAATATTCCAAGTAGTAAGGTATTATAATAAGCTAATTTTAACATTAATATTAATGATTTGTCTCTATTTTTATAGATATGTCAAAGCCATCATGTTCTTCAATTGATGGCTATATACATTATCTCATATATATTTTCAATATAAACAACAGATTCTTCTTGAATTTTATGGAGAAAGAAAATGGTCTAGAAGACATATTAATAAACAAAAGGCCTATGATAAAATATATGAGCGAATTACAAATAACGATAAAAAAACAATGATGGCGTTTAGGAATTGTGGTTTTTCCAAGTCATACTCAGGACATGTCGAGTAAGAGATGTAGAACAAGCAGGATATGTTGTGTGACGTGTTTTGGTCTGACTAAATGTCTTTAATTACTTATGTTATTTGTTTTCCATAGATTATTTATTGGAAATCACAATTCTAATTCAGCTCGTAATATAAGGACTTTTTTTTGTTTATAAATCAAAGATGCTTTAGGAGGACAAATAATTAATATTTATTTTTTATCACACCGGCGTGGTTGTTGCAGGATGTAGAACCAACCATCTAGAGTCTTTTGGTAGAGACAATGACGCGTGATTATAAAGTTATGGTCAGCGTCTTGGAATAGAATGATACTTAAATCAGACATAACTTACATATACTTAATTTTAACCCAATCTGCTGAATACTTTTTTTACAAAAAACTTAGAAAAAAGAATATTTTATTGGAAACTTGTAAATGGATATGAGGGAGTAGATTGCCAGTGATATTATAAAATCGATGATGAATGTAAAGATATTTAATATTGATGAATGTAAAGATAAAATTAATTTAATTAATATTATAATCATTAAACAATCTTGTTATTTTTATTGAGCTCTGATATATTGAAAAATCCAATAATATAAATAAATGAATATAAAAATAAATATACTAATAATATGTAAGAATATATGTAATTTTTTTTTAGCTGATTGTTGTAGAATAAAAATTTTTTATTTTGCATACAATAATTTCTCATACTATGTTTACTCGATAAGGCCTTACATTTGTTGTCTCATACATTGCAATATCTTTTTTCCAAATATCTTCTGTATTAAGTTCATTTTTTAAAGAAGTTGTTGTTATTGATGCATTACTTATTTTTAAAGATGACGATTTATTATTGTTGTTGTGGTGGTTGTTGTTATTATATGATTGTTCTAATATTTCATCTGATGATGATGATGATCTTTGATTATTTATATTATTTATAGTAGTAAATGATTTTTTATTTATTAAAGGTTTAATTATTGATTCAAATATTACAGTAGCACCTTTAAACCTATCATTTTGTGCCCAATAAAGAAATAATAATTTGAAAATATTATAACCAGGAAATAATTTAAGTAGTGATTCAGACCAATAATCTGCAATCTGTAACCATCCATAAATTGTCCAATATGTTAACCATTGTTTTTTTTCTTTATCTGTTGTTGAAGAAAAAGAAGAAACTGTTCTTTTTCTTCTTCCATCTTTATTATCATCATCATTTTTATCATCATCGTCATCATCATTGTTATTATTATCATCTGATTTTTCCTTTCCTTTTTTTTCTTCTACTTTTTCTTCTTCATTACCGATAATCTTCATTGATCGATAAGTTGGATAAACTACACCGATCAAATTACATAATAAATATAATGATCTGTTATACATATTTTTAACGGTTAATCCTGTGAATATTATCAATAAAATAAAAAGATAAAATCTTGATATTCCAAGTTTAACAAGTCCTGAAAATAACCAATTCTTATTACATCTATTTTCAAATGTTGATACGTGGCTTATAACCTCTTGACGAATAAAATTAGTTAATGGTGTAAGATTTAAAGGACTCAAGATTTCAATATTTGTGAGTAAACAGTCAAGGGTAGCAGTTGTTGGTAAATTTTCACTGGACGAGGACGACATTTTTCGCTTTGCATTATTATCATTTACTAAATTCATGTTTTATTATTTACTAAACAAAAAACGTGATATAAAATATAAAAAAAAAAATTCATATATATGTAACACTTGCAAATGAAAAAATGAAAAAATGAATGAAAAAAAATAAAAAAGTAAAAAAAAATGATACAAAATATTTTTATATTTATATAACTATATATAGCTGATTCAATTATTTTTAATTATTGTAATGTTTTTTTTATAAATTATTTTTAATTTGATGATTTCTATAAAATCGTAATTCATTGTTTTAGTTATTATTTCCTTAGTCGACTTCTTCGATAGTAGGCCCAGAATCATCTCCAGTTCCAGTATTGGTGCTTGGAAAACCACCTGGAGCATTACCACCTGGAACACCACCAGCACCATAAAGTTTCATCATTATTGGATTGGCAATTTCTTCAAGTGATTTCTGTTTATGTTCGTATTCATCTTTTTCTGCTTCTTGATTATGGTCTAGCCATGTGACTGATTCTTGAATTGCATCTTCGAGTTTCTTTTTATCGGCTGGATCAAGCTTACTTGAAACCTTTTCATCCTGTATTATTATTATTATAATATAAATAAAGTTTATCAGATTGTGAATTTATTATTTTTACAAGATTATTTAATAAACTATTTACCTGGAGTGTGTTACGTAAATTGTATGCATAACTTTCTAATCCATTACGTGCTGTTATTTTTTGAGCTACTTTTTCATCTTCTTCACGGTACCTCTCAGCATCCGAAACTAAATTGATCGATTAATTATTAATTAATAAATGAAATACGTTATATATAATTTTTAACTCAAAAATTTAAAAGTTTGTTATCATTTGATTGTTTGCTTACCCATTTTTTCAATTTCTTCTTTTGATAATCTTCCTTTATCATTAGTAATTGTGATCTTATTAGATTTACCAGTAGTTTTGTCAAGTGCAGATACCTAATATATTAAAAAATTTTTGTTAATTTTTTATAAATAAATACATTAATTCTAACTTTATTTAGTATTACAACCATAATTGGGATAAAAATGCAATAACATACATTAAGAATACCATTAGCATCGATATCAAAAGTAACTTCAACTTGAGGTACACCGCGTGGAGCTGGTGGAATACCCGTTAATTCGAATTTACCCAATAAATTGTTATCTTTGGTACGAGTACGTTCACCTTCATACACTTGAATAAGCACCCCGGGTTGATTATCGGCATATGTAGAAAATATTTCTGATTTTTTGGTTGGAATGACAGTATTACGTTTGATAAGAGATGTCATCACGCCACCAGCTGTCTCGATACCAAGTGAAAGTGGTGCAACATCAAGTAAAAGAAGATCTTTTGTTTTCTCGGATGTGTCACCAGTCAAAATGGCTGCTTGAACAGCTGCACCATATGCGACAGCTTCGTCGGGATTTATGGATTTGTTTGGTTCTTTGCCATTGAAAAAGTCTGATACTAATTTTTGAATTCTTGGAATACGAGTAGATCCACCAACCAACACAACTTCATGTACTTGGGATTTATCAATTTTTGAATCACGAAGCACCTTTTCAACTGGTTCCATTGTGGAACGGAACAAATCTTGATTCAATTCTTCAAACCTGGCACGAGTTATAGATGTGTAGAAATCAATACCCTCAAAAAGTGAATCAATTTCAATGGATGTTTGTGCTGATGCTGAAAGTGTACGTTTGGCACGCTCGCAAGCTGTTCTGAGACGACGAAGTGCTCTAGCATTTGTGCTAAGATCTTTTTTGAATTTACGTTTGAATTCTTGAACAAAATGATTTACTAGACGATTATCAAAATCTTCACCACCAAGATGGGTGTCACCAGCAGTGGCCTTGACTTCAAAAATACCATCTTCAATTGTTAACAATGAAACATCAAAGGTACCACCACCCAAATCAAAAATCAACACATTACGTTCCCCTTTTGATTTCTTATCCAAACCATATGCAATAGCAGCGGCTGTTGGTTCATTGATGATACGAAGCACATTCAATCCAGAAATCATACCAGCATCTTTTGTTGCTTGACGTTGAGAATCATTGAAATAGGCAGGTACTGTAACAACTGCATTTGATACTTTTGTACCAAGAAAAGCTTCAGCAGTTTCCCTCATTTTTGTTAACACCATTGATGAAATTTCTTCTGGAGTAAATTGTTTAATTTCACCTTTATATTCAACTTGGATATATGGTTTAGTATTTTTATCAACAACTTTGAATGGCCAATGCTATAATTATTATTATAGAGGGGTGATGATGTAAGAATTAACAAAGATTGAAACGAATTAATATTAATAATTAAAATATTTTATATATATATAACATAATTATCATATTATTAGAATGTTTAATATGTACCTTCATATCAGATTGAACTTCTTGATCATTAAAGCGACGACCAATAAGACGTTTAGCATCAAATACAGTATTATGTGGATTCATAGCAACTTGATTTTTTGCGGCATCACCAATTAAACGCTCAGTATCAGTAAATGCAACATATGAAGGTGTTGTACGGTTGCCTTGGTCGTTAGCTATAATTTCAACTCGGTCATTTTGCCAAACACCAACGCAAGAATATGTGGTTCCCAAATCAATACCAACTACATATAATAAATGTTTGATAAATTTATGAGTATGAATGATATTTATTATTATCGTTGTTTTGAAATTCAAAAATTAATAAATAGTAATTACCTGCTTTCCCTTCTACTGCTTCTGGCATTTTGTATTTGTTTGTTTATTTTTTAGCAAATAAAAAAAATATATTTACAGTTTTTTTATTGATGGATTTTTTTATTTTTTGAAAGAAATATATTAAATGGGCATAATAAAATGCAAGGTTTTATAAGCTTTTAAGACATTTTTTCCAGCAAGTTCCATATTATATCATAACAACAACAATTACTAATCGTAGTTGATTACGGAAAATTCTAGAGTAAACTGGTTTTTTTTTTTATTAAAGTAAGGTTGCGGTAAACTAGTTCAAACTAATAAATAATTAATTTTAAAGAATCGTCATCGTGGAAAAATTAACTGTTTCCATATCACAATACAATTACTGAAACTTTTAAATTGACGATCTGTTTATGAATCAGGGAAATGCCGATCAATTATTTGTAAAAATGCGGAGGAAATTTAATATGAAATTTTTAATATGAAATTTTTAATAACAAGCTTCAATCATCGAAATGTTTATTCAAAGGAAAAGCAAAAAGAAATGGATGTATTTAAAACAGCATTAAAGGTGAAGAAATTATCAATACAAATAAAGAATCTATAGAAGATGGTGATAGTAAAGATCAAAACGTAGGAAAGCATAATCAATAAATTGCAGTAACTGAATTTGGACTTGGTTCTAGATCGAGTAATAATTTCAATTTTTCATTTCCTTACTACTTATTCCTTATTACACCCTCCTCTCCGCCTCTTCTTCCTTAAAGTGACAATGTCAGATTCAGAACTTTTAGCAGAACCTACATCAAAACTAGGAGAAGAAAGTATATATAATAATCCTATTAGTGAATGGAAAATTCACAAAGTTATTTATTTATGATTTTATTTCAATTAAATAAATAAATCAAATTTTGTTTTTTTTTCTCTCTCAAAGGACAACTTATTATTCTAGATTCCATATCAAAATCAATTAAATTATATAATTGCATATAAAAAAATATATTACTTTCTAATAAATTAATAAATTCATTTTATAAATATATATCCACCCCTCATTATTATTATTATTATTATTACTATTATTATTATTATTATTATTATTCTATGAATAAATATTGACCAATGATAGCACCGAAAATAGCCAATAAAAGCGAAGTCAAAGGTTTTCTAAATTTATATAAAATACCCAAAGTTAATATGTAAATAACTGCAGCAAGGGAACTTTGCTTAGCAGCAACCAAATCTCTTTCAGTCCCGGCAGGATATAGTACCAAACTAGCCGAGGTTGTTATTGAAGCTTTAAGCAGATCGAAAGTTGTCACTGCTATAATACCAAAAACGCTGCCTGTAACACCATCCAAAAAATGCCGCCATGAATTGATTACGATTTCTTTAACAGATCATGTCCCAAGATTGTAAATAAGAAACATGGAGTGAATATTCCAATATTAATCAATACAACTCCTAAAAATCCATAACCAACACCACCATAGACATAGCCTCCTTGATATCCAATAAATGTTGAAAACATTACTAAAGATGATGGAAATGCATTTCCAATAGCTATCGCATCCAAAAATGTTTGTTTTGTCATCTACCCTCCTATTGTTATAGCTTCTGCTTGTAAAAATGGAATCGTTGCCTCACGATATATAAATATTATTATTTTTTACAAGTACAATCAAACCTTGTCACAACGGACCATAATTAAATCCTTGTCATAACGGATTTTTAAAATTTTTGCTTCACATATAAAACCATATAAAATTTTTCTTATGTGTCTCGTCCACCCACTGTGACAAGGCTTGACTGTATGTGGAAATAAATAAAAATTTAATAGCACATCCAATGATAAACTACCAGCTAATAAACCCAAACCAAGAATATGGCCGGGGTCAGTTGTTTTAGCAACGCTTACACCTAATGATTGAAGTGATGGCAAACCTTTGAAACCAATATAAATAAAAAATCCAACCAATTCCTCTAAAATCAACGCAAACACCGAGAACATGATAGTTCCTATCGATAAACATAAATGCCAATCCGCATATCACCAATGTGACAAGATAATTCATTCTTAAAACACTCTGAAATACTCCCAAAACAGCAAAACTAAACAACCACCAATTGAATTTGCTTGATTTGTGCAAAATAAATGAATGCTCGCCTATATTGTGCACGGCTCTCAATACTATAGCTGCAACCATTGATTGTAATGCTCTGAATGAAGCGTTGGAATAAATATTTTCCCATCCAATTTTTGTGTAGATAAAATGAAAATAATATTATCAAGAAAAATCCCGGTGTTATAAATCTGAACCGCCCAGGAGCCCACCTATAACTATTTGATAAACTCCATAAACTCTATTAAATTTATCAGTTGCAATCCAGCCTTCTTTTACAACCAACCTTTCTTTAAGCAATGATATTTCTGCAACCTGTCTACCCCAAGCAAAAAATCTAAAATTTAAAATAATAAAAAAATTATTCAATAGGATGATTTTGGAACTTTGAAATTGATTTTCATCATTGTCATCTTGATGAACTCCATGATGATCATTATTCTCGTTCCTATCATTATCATTCTCTTCTTTATTTGTAATAATAATGACTGGATAATTTTCTTGCCTAGTAATTGTTTGTTCATTACATAGTGAATTGGCCGAGTTTGGAGAGCTTGTGACAGTTGCAGAAGTTGTATCACCTTTTTCTTCAAATTCGATCTTTTGAAAATCCTCTTTGTTTGACTTGACATTATTTAATTTTTATTTTTCTCATAGGATATTATTATTATTATTATTATTATTATTTTTAAAAAAGTAGAAAAATCTTTTTTTTAATTCAGATTTCATTATTACATTACGAACTGTGAAAGATGACCTTACTACGTACTATAGTGCGTGGATACTTGTGCTAATGAAAAAAAAAATTTTTAAAACCAAATTCTGATTATAATGATTGAAATAAATTCTTTTGAATATATATTTTAAGAATACACTGGGATCCACACAACTTTATACGCTAGATTTTTTCCTTACATATAGGAGAACTATTGGTCTAAAAACCCGTTTATTTATTTATTGATTCTATAATTACAAGTTAGTAATGGTAAACACTAGACCACTAGCTAATACTCTACCATGCACCATGCCTCTAGACGTTTTTTCTGTGATATGTCAATTCATATTCTAATAATAAATTATGAACAGTATTTTTTATCCAGTCGAAATTGGAGTGTTTGGTTTTGTCAAAGTTTCTATCTTCTCATTCTTGTCGCATGTCAAGTACTTTCTGTAAATCTTTTGTTGTGTTCTTTCAAAAAGAGTTAATAAATTTTAATAAATCGAGTGACACATCTAGCAAACCTTTTGCTGCCGTATTAAATTTCCTTGAGTTCTTCAGAGGCAAATATTTTATTTTGAATGTAGGTTACATTATCGGTGTCGATAATAAATGAATGTACTAAGCTGAAAACAAAAATTAATGCAGGCAAGTCACATTGTGCAAAATCTGCAAATGAACATGACTTTACACACTGTTCAAATCGACATTTTATCCAAATGCATAACCATTTTTTGTCATTATGCATTTTTTTGAAATGTATATTTAAACTCTGATATGTTTGATTCGCTCATTTCTTTAATTAAATCTTCATTGTCGAAACCATTCAGAGTTGTTTCGAAGTCACTTAATCCTGCAAAATCTGTCAATGGCTCTTCCACCATCTCTTCATATCTATTGTGATTTCCTCGGAACTTTGTCACTGCCGATTTTGCTATTTGTAACACTCTGGATTTCACGCTAATTAAGAGGAAAGGTGTAAATATCCACATCATTCACACTATTAAGATTAAAGATAGCACTTACCTTATTAACTCGATCCTCAATAACAATCTTTGCTAATTGTGAATAATGATATGTTGAATTTGCGGGGTCTTTACTAAAATTCTATGTAAATAACATAATAATAAAAAAATATTACGAATTAGAATGCAAGCCACGTATGCTATGATGAAACCTATAAGATCCACCATCATAGCACACCTTCCACTTCAGGCAAGAAATAATCTTGCCTTGCGCAATAAAATCAACAACTGCAGGGTATGGTTGGCCTACATATCAATGAAACTTATCAGCACATTCTATAATGGAACTTGAAAATCCGCCATCATGACATACTTCCCACTTCAGACAAGAAGTCATCTTGCCTTGTGCGATAAGATTGCTCAGTTAATAACTGCAGGGTGTGATAAAGGTATAGTAGGAAAAAACACGACACTGACTTGTAAAACTTTTTGCAAAACATTTGCTTTGGAAAAACCGAAAGTTTTAAATCGTAATTCCTCACTATACTATTACAGACACACAATCCAACATAGCGTGACCCGTTATATTGTTACAGACACACAGTTCAATATAACCCTATAATACTTAAGGCATCCCTGCAAGCAATATAATAAAATTAAAGGGATTTCTAACTAATAATTAAAGGTTGGCCAAACTATTAATTAGAAAGGATTAGGAAATCAAACACACTAGTTTTATTAATTAATTACAGTCAAAGTCTATTTCATGTAAGTGTTATATTTATTAGGGTGTTAAGACAAATATTATATGTTAATTAATTATCCTTTAACTCAAGCAATTTATAAC